GGGGGGTTCCCTCCCCCTGCGCGTGCCGGGAGCGCGGCCGGGCTGCAGCGCGGAGCCCCAGCCCGTCCGAGCCGCCGAAATAGCGGCAGAGGAAAGAAAGAATAACACGAGGGAGACGAGAGGTAACGCCGTCCCATCCCGCACTCTGCCACCTCAAAGTCTTCCTTTCCGCCTGTGGCTTTCTTAAAGTGAGGGTTGGCGGTGCTGTAGATAAGCACTCCCAGCAGCTCATACCACTGGAACTGGAAGGGTGGGTTAAGGTGAGTGGTTAGTGGTTAATAGCAGAGCATACTGAAGAGCCTGGCCTCGAGGGACTGTGTGGAAGCACCCGCCTGTTGTGCTGCCTCCTCCTCCCGTCTGGGCTCCGGGTGCAGCTGCATCGCCCTCGCCAATCCGTCATATGGCAACAGAAGCAGGAAGGAGAAGAGCGAGGCGCTGCCGCCGGGAGCACAGCGGTGGTCGGCAGCGGGAGCCCTTCTCTCCCGCAGCCACGCGGCTTGCTGGTGTCACAAGACCCGCAAAGCACAGTGCGTAACAGGTCACGGAGGAGCCTGGAGCCTCTTCCTTTCCCCTTTTCCATAACCAACAGCGCTAACTAACTACCTGGAGCCAACACCGAGGAAGGAAGTTCTCGGAGACCCTTCCTGCCAACCCATTAACACAAGGGCTGGGCATCCTCGTGTTTGGCACAATAGGCCGTGTCTATTAACGAACACATTTTGCTAAAGAAGCTGGCTTTGTGCAGCTACTGTTATTTTCAGGGTCTACTCCTTAGATAGATCATACATCATCCTTAGTTGCTCATTGCACATGTTGGATCTCCCCACGGCCATCAAGCAGGACAGATTTTGTTATCGTTACTTCAATCTTCTTTTCAATTATCGTTACTTCAATCTTTCTTTCTACTCAGTGTATATACGTACCTCAAGGGAGGCAGTGAGGAGGATGGGGCTGGCCTCTTTTCACTGGTGGCCACCGACAGAACTAGAGGTAATGGCCACAAACTGAAGCACTAAAAGTTCCACAGGAACTTAAGGAAAAATTTCTTAGCAGTGAGGGTGCCAGAGCCCTGGAACAGGCTGCCCAGAGAGGTTGTGGAGTCTCCTTCTCTGGAGATCTTCAAACCCGCTTGGACGCAGTCCTGTGCCACGTGCTCTAGGTGACCCTGCGTGTGCAGGGGGTTGGACTAGATGATCTCTAGATGTCCCTGCCAACCTGAAGTATTCTATAATTCTATAATTCTATGATTTTCATACAGATGCTCCACAGAAACCCTCCAAAAGTTAATTTGCTTTCCTGCAGCCATGCACCTCAACACCCCCAAAAAAGAAACATCACCCTCAACCTCACATCCATGCCTGCAGTAAGTAGTGCCTTTGCCGCTGGCACTATAGCCACAGAAAAGCGCACAACAGGCGACCCCAAACACACCGGTCTCTGCAGCGAGATTATTGCTGCCCACGCACGTGGGTACCTCGTGGCGAGGTACAAGCCAATGTTGGCAACCAGCGTGGAGCCACACGGCCCAACTCGGGCAGGAAAAACTCCGCAAAGCGCCACGACGCACGTAAGGGCCCTAACGAGCAGCCGTGCGCGCAGGTCAGGGTCAACTGCTTTCTGCTCGTAACCCCGAGCAGCTACACGTGCTGCTGGAAATGAGGATTGCAGACCTGCACAAAGCGTTCTGCCTTGTTAAGGTACTGTACTCCCAGCGATCACATCGAGAGAGAAAAAAAAGAACAAAACCAAAAGATACCCTGATTTTCCTCATTAGAAGATTTTAATCCTAGTAGCTAAATAAATTGGTTGTGATGGGTTGCCCTCTCCCCCATGAACTTTTCCCAAGTAACCTTTCAAATATTCAAACTAGCTTCTTTCATGCTACAAATTTTTCAAGCATTCTAAATAGAAAATATTTTTTTTCTTATCACACATTCCTGTCTACCATTCCAAAAAGCTCACAACTCTGATAATCCATCTGACAACACAGTCAATCAAATATCCATCCTCCAGCCGTTTCCAAAGAAACCAACACGTAGCCAGAAAGACAGACTGCTTAAGCTGGAAGGAAACCAACCCAAAAGACATAACAGCAAACTCCAAGCATTACCCCTTTTTTCCTAAATTCCTTCATTTTGGGGGAGAGCGTGGGGACACAGAGGAGAATGCAGTTATAGGAGGAAAGCAAGCGGTGGTGGTAGTTCTCTTTAAACCTGAAGGTTCCTCCTTCAGGAAGGAACCTCCTTGTTCTTGGGCTGTCTCCTGCTTCGGCCTCAATCCTGTGTGTGCTTTAGGTGCGTGGACACAATGGCCTTATTCATAAACGTCAAGCTAAGCATTTGCCAACGGCTTTGAGCACTCGGGATCAGGATGGTAAGTTCCTCGGGACAGAGACTTGAGGGGTTTTCAAGAGACCAACACAGTAAGTTCAGGGGGAGCTGGTTACCCTCCTGCTTTAATTGCCTGAAAACCCTGTTCCTTCTCTGTAAGGTACCTAGAACATCTCTGGAGCAAATATAACAATATTTGGAGCTCTTGATTTCCCACACTGTTACTCATTAGAGTAGCACTGAGACTGAAACTACATTGTGGTAATGTAGTAATAGACAGTGATAAACCAACATGCATATATTTAATCATAGGTATATAGAGAGTAAACAATATAGACTACAAATAAACATTTGAGGTTTTAATTTAAATAATCGTGATCTTAAAAGCAATGAGCTCACCCATGAAACCTTAAATTTCTCCCAAATTCTCCCTCACATCTACCCAATATTTTTATGAAACAGTTGTTCATTGTACATACACAACACCGACTTGTTTTTCCTAGATTTATGTACTTAATTAACAAGAAGCCTTTCAATATTATGTTTTCTGTTTTTCAAATCACAGCCCATACCTTTTTCATTATACACATTCAGATCCTACTCTGAATAGAGTTGATTTCCTCATGGGCTTTCTAATGGAACTTGTTGCTAACAGTGTTCATGTGCTTCAACAGTATTAATTAGTTTAATTTCATAATACACCCCTAAGGTGAGATTTTATAAAAGGATATGAACATCCCATGGAAAAAGAGGATGGAAGCAGACTCTTCAGTAGTGTCCAGCAACAGGGCAAAAGGCAACAGGCACAGGCTCCACCTAAAGCCACTTGTCTTTAGAGGAACCACTAATTCTTTAGGGTTTCGTTTCACACTAGTTTCAGCCATGGTAATTTTGCTCACTAAGTATCTACTATGATTTCTAATCAAACCCTGAGGTTTAGAGGCACATGAACATAAGAACCAAGTAAGCGTAGTACAAAAGCCTGCAATAACTTTACAGAGGAGCTCTGTGACACAAGCAAGGGCAGCAAGACTCATATCTTCAAGTCATTCAGCTCCCTGAAGAATTGACCCCCAAATCTCTTCCTCCATTGCCTTTTTTTTTTCTTCAACACTTCTTTCAAGTGGACTCCTGCCAACAACAGCCCCCCAACACTAGTGACACCCATATAATTCACATACTGGTAGAAGCCTTCTGCTCCCTCCTGTAGTATCTGTTCTTAAACTAACAGCACAGTTGTTTGCAAGAGTAGGTAGCCCGCGTTTGGATCAGCAGTTGGAAAGGCCCAAGTCTCTTCATCACTTCATGAAAAGGTCCAAGTCTCATCATACATGTTGCTGACAGACGATGCACAGTGAATCTTGGGTCCCCATCCAAGATCTAGGGGAGAGTATTTTTAACAGCATAGTCCCATCTGCTTGTTTTCCATGTCCTTATTTTACCTTATCTTGGCTTTTTCTTTCTGGCCTATTCTTCTCTTCACTCTCAGCTCTTCAAACCTATATTTTTTCTTCTCTCTGTATTTACCTAGTTAAAGCTAGTGAGGGTCCCATCCCTGCTCCAGGCATCCCAATTTCACTCCTCTTTAATCTCATTCTAAGACTTTTCACTCAGCACACCCAGATCTGCTGTCTGACTTTGTTTTCTTTGTTGTTTTCATTCCCTTTGTCCAAATAATCCTTTTCTTAAGGCTTTTCACCAGATTTAACTTGCTGTTAGACTTATTCCACTGTTGTTTATTCCATGTACACATCCCTGAATGAGCGAGGTTGTTTTTGCTCCTTGCCCTTACTTCCCAGCCAGGGAATGATGAGAGCTGTTTGCCCCTGTATATCTGCCCCACAGATACGCATCTTTGCAACTCTACATCTTTTGCTTTCCACTGTTGCTTCTTGGGGCCCATTTACTTCTACAATTGCTTCCTTTTCCCAATACACCCACTGTTCCTGCCAATAATGTCTCCTAATCACTACTCACCCTTCCCTTTCTCAGAAGCTCAGTGCCAACTTGATCGCCCTGCAAGATCACATCTTCTCTGGCTATTCCAGCCAGGCAGCCTCCTCTTCCCTGTCCCATGGGCAGTAAAGGAGCACTGAGCACA